GATTATTATAAAAATATTATTTATAAATAAAATTACAATTGCAAGATTTCTAATGCTTATTTTTGAAGATTGTAATTTCAAAGTATTTTTATTTAGACTATTTTTATTTGTTTGTAATTCTAATTTATTATTAATAGATTTTAATTGACTTTGTTAAATAATAAAACTTTCTTCACTATGAATTACTTTATTTTGTATTTCATTTGTTTTATGCCAATTTTCATGACTACCAAGTCCTTGAATAGTTGAAAATTTTTTATTGAATCCAGATATTTTACAAGAATACATTTTTTTAAAAAAAAAATTGATTCGTAAAAGCAAATTATCAAGTTTGATTTTATACTACAGTTATTGATTAATCTATGATGTATTACATATGATATTTTACAAGAATACTTTTTTTTTTAAAAAAAAATTTGATTCGTAAAAGCAAATTATTAAGTTTGATTTTATACTACAGTTATTAATTAATCTATGATGTATTACATATAAAAAAAATATAAATTCAAGTTTATTATTAATTATTACTCTACTTTTTTAATTATATTTATTTATCGTTCTTATTTATTTGTAAGTATTTTGATTATTTAATATTTATTAATTTTATATTTATTTATTGTTCTTATTTATTTGTAAGTATTTTAGTTATTTATTATTTATTAATTTATTGTATTTATAATTATTATTATTGTTTTTTAGATTACAATTATGAAGTGCAATAAATTGAATATATGTAATTTAAAATTAAAACCAACAAGAAGATCTCAAACACCTATTCAATCTGCTTCTATACTAGAAGTATATTACAAACAAGAGTTTCAAATAACTTTTTAAATCATGAAGTTCAAAGAAATAGTAAAGTTCAAAGAAATAGTGAAGATTGAAGAAATAGTGAACCTCAAAAAAATAGTGAAGCTCAAAGAAGTAATGAATCTCAAAAAAACAATGAAGCTTAAAGAAATAATGAAGCTCAAAGAAATAATGAAGCTTATAGAAATAATGAAGCTCAAAGAAACAATAAAGCTTATAGAAATAATGAAGCTCAAAGAAATAGCGAACCTCAATTTATTGATAAAGATTATGATTCTGAAACTTTTAATAGTCAATATCATATCAATTTGGATAATGATCTAGAAAGTATTTTAAATTCTAATGATTTATATAAAAGAAAAAGCAAATTTATTAATAAAGAACCAAAAAGAATTAGATCCGGTAAATTTATTTTATATATTTGTATAATTTTTAATATAAGGTTACAAATTTAATCTTTATTATATATAATAATAGATAACTGTTATAATGAAGAAGCTATAATTGGATCGCTTGAATCTCTTCATACAGTTATAAATACACTTACAGATACAGTTAATGAAATAAAGAAAGAACAAACTGAAATATACGAATTTATAAAACAACAGCAAAAAACTTTTACAAGCCAAACATATTCTCACAAAAAGCAATGGTTTTATGTTAGTATATGTATATATTAAAATAGATTATATACTTAATATATTTTTTATTAAATAATTTTTTTTATTACAGAGAACTATTCATAAAGCAATTCGTGAAAAAATGAATACTATTAAGTATCTATCAAATAAGCAGCTTGAAATTGTATCTAAAATAGCACTTGAAATTCATAATAAAGACCAATTAGATGCTATTCTCATAAATCTTTCATGGAAAAATTTATGGAATAATAGTATTGCACCTGCAGTAAGTTTTTATTAAATTATAATTTATTTTTATTTTTATTTTTAGTATTATTAATTATTGCTTTTTTTTTTTATATTAGGCAAAAGAAATTGCCCAGGAATATCAAAGTGAAATAAAAATTAAGGTAAAAAAAGCATTAACAGAAGTATTTGGCAGAGATCAATTTCCACTAATTGAGCAAGCACGCCCATCAGCTGACCAAGTAAATATATAAAAACAAAAAGAAACAATTCAATTATGTTTTAATAAATTAGAAAATCCAAAAGATTTGGATAATTCAAGCTTTACCTGGTGACTTGCTGTTCTTGAGCAAGTTTTTTCTGATGAAACTACTAAAAATAATATTGCATTTGCAAGTATTTGTATTGATGTAATTTGTAATGCAAACTATTCTGGGTATGAATTACAACAAAAGTATATTATTCAAGAAATGAATTCTTCTCTTAGAGGAATGGAATCAAGTGAATTAGAAATCGAATTAGAAGCAAATGAAGCTAGTACTAGTGATTTAGAAAGGGAAGAAGAATAAATATATTTGCCAATACATTTATTATTATAATATGTTAAAGTATATTTACTGTATCACTGCTAGAATTAGTAAATATAAATACTGTATACAGTATATAGTACTTGACAGTTGCTACAAATCATATTAACAATAAATAAAAAGATACTTGTGCTATTATTTTAATCTTACTTTGAAAATGGCGTTTTGAGACTATTGCTGAAATCAAACTTGAAATTTGAATGGTTGGCACTCGCGTTATTATCTACATTTAATACTAAGATTCTTTGCAACACATTTAGCATTTAATTATCTATTTTATAAAATATAGATTGTGTTCTCATAACCCAATTAAAGATCCAAACTAAATTCGTTTCAAGATACGTTCGAATCACAATACAAGTGAATTTGATATCTTGAATAGTAAAAACAATAAAAAAAAAAAATTTATACAAGATAATAAAATATATAACTTCAATTATTGACATATATAAAGAATGAATGCTCACCTCTCTAGAATTATACATAAATTGCCTCTTTATATTTTTCACATGACTTAAAATAGAAGTTTGGACAACGCCATTTTTCAATAAGAAAATAAAGCTCTCTTTGCAACTTTTATGTTCATTGAATGCTTTATCCCATCCAATAGGATTATATCTACCAAGAATTTCATCAGTGTCTTTAACTTTTATGAACAAGATTTTTGAAGTTCTTTTAATTTTATAAAGTAAACGTCAATAAGCAAAAGTTACTAAGATTATGACAATAAACAAATTTTCTTGCTTATCGCATAAATTTCAAAACGAATCACAAGTAAATCCATCTCTGCTTCTATGAAGAAGTAATTTGAATTCATAAAAATAATTATCATAGAATACATTTCAGCTTTTTTATCAATCTATGAAGCAGTTTTAGCTGCATGTTTTTCATTAATAACTTCAAAAATGGTTCTTGTAGCTATTCTGGTATTAAAATCACATGAGGCGAAGAACTACTGAAGATACTGGTCTCAGCCCGTATCACTAGTTACTAAAAAGTAGGCCTAATTTTTTTTTTAATTTTGTGTTATATGCCTTTTAACTAAGTCTTTTCAAAGATTTTTTTAAGAATTTTTATATGGTTGAATATAGTCATTACTTTATTTTAGCTCAACCTTAATAATAACTTTAATAATAACTTAAATCCGTATATAACAGTATTGTTAAGAGATCAGCACAATTCTGATTGAAATCACGATATATATATATAATGCTATTGTATTATCAATTGATTTTCTACTTTTATCTACTTTTCTTTCATATTTAAAAAGTCTTCTCGAGTTGCTTTTTTTTATTCACTATAAACTATTTTTTTTAGCTTTAAGTTTAAAGCAAACAGAGATCTGTCTTTCGACTTTCGAGTTTTTCTAATATAAACACGTACTTTTTTAACTTTCGAGTTTTTCCTAATATAAACATATACTTTTTTAACTTTCAAGTTTGTTCGGGTATTTTGTTAAGTGTTTGCTTTTTTTTGGGTTGTTGTTCTGAAGACTCTTCTCTCTTGTTAGTTTTAGGTTTGACGATTTGAAATTGCATTCTTCTTTGTCTTCCACTGTGTGCTATGATTTCTTTCATAAGCTTCGGGAAGCTTGGAATTGAACAAGAACGAATATTTCGTTAAGTGTTTGCTTTCTTTTAGGTTATTTTTTTTTTTATTGTAATAAATAAATCAATAGCTCTTGTCAGTTTTAGGTTTAACGATTTCAAGTTCTTTTTTGTCTCCCACTGCATGCAATGATTTCTTTCACAAGATCGAGTATTTCATTAAGTGTTTGCTTTCTTTTGGAAAAATTTTTTTTTTATTGTAATAAATAAATCAATAGCTCTTGTTAGTTTTAGGTTTAATGATTTCAAGTTTCTCTTTGTTTCCCACTATGCACCGTGATTTCTTTCATAAGCTTTGGGATCGCTCGGAATTGAACAAGATCGAATATTTTGTTAAGTGTTTGCTTTTTTTCATGTTATTTTTTTTTATTGTAATAAATAAAATCAATAGCTCTTGTTAGTTTTAGGTTTAACAATTTCAAGTTCCTCTTTGTCTTCCACTGTGCCATGATTTCTTTCGTAAGCTTCGGGATCAGGATTGTAAGCTCAGAATTGAACAAGATTGAATATTTTGTTAAGTGTTTGCTTTCTTTCGGGTTATTTTTATTTTTATTTTTTTTTTAAGCGATTCTGCTTTTATTCAAATTTAGTGAACTGCTACATGACACTGTGATACATCAATGAGACTATATGTTTTTATTTAATAAAAGCTCACCAAGCCTAAGCCCAACGTGACCAGCTATAACAACTATTAGTCACCCCCGGGATTCAAAACTTGCTTCAAATTTCATAACGACGAGGTTACCCCCCAAGAGTTATGACAGGTTGTTGTATACCATGTCAGGATCTTTTCTTTCCCTTCTAATTCTTTCTTCTTCTCAAAAGGTACAAGATAAAGAAAGAAGTTTTAAAAAGTAAACAAATGAAAATGACTAACAAAAAACCCAAAAAGAACACCAAAAAGAAAAAAAAAAAACATATTTCAAAAAAGAAAAAACAAAAGAGAAGAAAAAAAACCCTAACAAAATGATATAGCCATAACACGGCTAAAAAATTATATAATACTCTTAAATTTAGCTCTACTCTAGATTTAGTCCATATTATATATAAATATCTTCGGGGTAGAGTTAGTAGAAATAACATAATTATGTTATTTTCACTTAGTCTAGGTTATTCCCACTCAGGTATGTGTCATGACGACAGAAATGCAACACCGTCGTCAGTGTTATGACGATAGAAATGCGACACCATCGTCAATGTCGTGATATATATTTTATGACACATTTTTGATGACAGAAATGCGACACCGTCGTCAGTGTCGTGATATATATTTTATAACACATTTTTGATGACAGGAATATAATGCCATCGTCAGTGTTGTAATATATATTTTATGACACATAGATAGGTTATAATGCCCTAGCCTAGTCCTTCTGTATTTTTTATTATAACCCAAATTCGATAACATTACTTGTATGCTGGTTTGGTAATTATGTCTGATTTCCGTCGTTAGGCCACATGGGTAAAAAAATATATACCTGACGATGCATTTAGTCATGTGTCATTATGCTATATACATGTTATTGGGTCATGTTATTGTGAGTTTTCTTTAAGCACTTCTGATTTTTCTGCCATTTTCTTTAGCTTTTTCTAGTAATAATGTTTCATATTTCGATACTTACCACCATGCCTTGTACATATTGCTGATATAGAAAAAGTTAGACACGAAGTGTCCTGCTCCACAGACTTACTACACTTTTTACAAGGTGTACACATAGGAGAATTCCTGTTAACATGACAGTCTTCAACTTTATATTCCTCGTTGTATACTTCTTCGCCACCAAATAGATCAATCATATTTACGCTAAATTCTTTAACAATATATATCACATAGAATATTTAATAGAAAAATTAATACAATCGGGACATGCTATCGACTTTGCTATATACACATTATCGCGAGTTTAATGACCCGATTGCGACTGATTTCTGTTATGGACAAAAAAAAATATACTGACGATGTTTTCAGTTATGTATCGTCATTTACTGGTCTAATGTTACCACACTTGAATACCCTTGATGACATACACGCGAAAACATACCCAAAAATATATCATTGAAAGGGTATTCTTCTGCCATTTTTCTTATAATATATTATCGCACTTGAATACCTCGAACACATATCATCACATCGAAATGGGTATATAACTTCCATAATTCTTATAATATATTACCGAACTTATATACCCAAAGTATTCACTAATCGAGATCGCAATTCTCTTCATTTATCTCACTAAAACTCGATGCATTTTTTTGTCTCTAAAAATTTTTAGTGACAATACTATTTTTAGAGACAACTTTGGTGATGGGTTTATTATTAAATTTCGGTTTCAAATTCTTTTTTATCTTGTTCTTCTATACTGTCACTGAAAACTCTGAAAATAAAGTAAAATTCTAGAAAAAAAAAATAAAACTTTTTCTTATGGTATACCTTTGATATATACCCGATATATACCCGATATATATTATATATATGTAATATACCCATATATAAAAAAAAAAGAAAAAAAGCTAGAGAAATTCGATCTTTTTTAGAGTTTTCAGTGATAGACATTTAGAAAGCTTTCTAAAAGTTTAAAAATGTGGAATTTGATAGAGATCTCGACTCCGAAAATTTTCTGTCACTAAAAATTTTCGGTGACACTTGGCCATATTAAGATATTGCATATATACTTACTATGTATTTTTTATGACCCTTTAGGGGGGACAGAGTCTCGGATCTTCGATCCATCGCCCGGGCCTGCAGAGCAATGGTTCTTCGAACCTATAACACTATTTTGTATCATCTTCTCCAGCTTTTTCTGCTGATATCGATCCTGCCTTCGATATTTATCTGCATGAGTATCACAATAATCATAATCGGAATAAGTCAACTTACCACATTCTTTACAAGGTACACGTGGTAGAGAATTCCAGTGAACTTTGCACCCTTCAGGCCTATAGCAACCTCGATTGCAAACTTTTCCAGTCCTAAGAATATAGGAGCAACGATAAAATGCCATATTTATATAATTTTGATATAGTGGTTATTATCTACTGATAACTATTCTTTAGAATTAATTTTCATTTTGAACTTTTTTTTCCAGAACAATATACTAGCAGTAAAATATACTTATCATGGATACCCAAAATTTCCAAGAAAATATCGATCACGTATCAGCAGAAGTGGGAGTACCACCTTCTCGACCAGAGAGCCCAGAAAACTCGGAGAATTTCAAGCCGGAGATAGAGATAGAGGAAGGCTCTTCAAGCCATTGCTCTGCAATAGAAAATAGCGGGGCATTCTACCGCTGGGGGCTTAAAGCTTTTCCTCAATCACAGATTTCGGAAAATGAAAGATCAGGACGATTGCTCCGCTACTCTGGAGAAGATTATTTAATAGGTCTACCAACCCGAAATGATATAGTCGCAGAAATTGATGAAGGGTTATCTGCAATTCTCAATAATGCTTTAGCTGAACAAGAAGAGATTCCTTTCATGGCTATCGATTTTGAGGGTTCATCAGAAAAAATAGGCGAAAAAAATCATTATGTTTTACGTCTTTACGGCTCTCTCATCAATGGTCAAAAAGCAGTAGTTACTTTTACAGGAATCCAGATTTTCTTTGATACACTTGTACCTGTTAATGAATTTGTAGATGACTTTAAAATAAAAATAGACACAATTCTTTCTAGTATTATAAATACCTATAAAATAGAATATATTAAGGCCTTCCCCTTGCGCGGTTACTATACAGAAAAAAAGTCATATTTACGAATTTTTACACTTGGTAGTGGGGATAGGAAGAAAGTTCTCCAAGCTATCCAAGATAACAATTTCGAAATTGCTTCAGATGATATGTTCTCATTCCACCATAAAATAGCTAGAGAAAATGGAATTGTGATTTCTGGTTGGTCTATGATAAGCAAGTATAGATACAAGAAACATTCCCATTATACGCACGATTTTTGACTTTCTGTAAATAATTTTCGACCAGTAGAAGATCTAAAAACGATAAGTGAATATTTTTCGATTTCAGCGCTTATGAGAGATCGTACGTTTATCCTTACATGGGATATAGAGACACAATTGCGAGAGTTGGGTGAATTTGCTGAAATACATGATGAAGAAAGTACCGTATTCATGATTTGTATGACTTTGCATTGGAAAGACAATCCGAGACCGCTAAAACAAATCTGTCTCGTCGATCTTGAAATTGCACCGGACCCTCGATGGATAACAGTTGTATATGGGAATCAGACAAATTTACTAAAAGCATTTGCATTGTGCTGGAAGGCTTTCATCTCTGATATTTAATTTGGATCTAGCGATTCTGAGTACGATTGGCCGTTTATTATAGAAAGAGCTTGCAGACTTAATCTTCTCGAATGGATGTAGAAGCAAATGACGGGAAATTTTAAATCATCGAAAGAAATTCAAAAATAGAATTATTACGGGAAAGTAGGGGTGAAATCTAAAAATAGTTTTCAAATTAAAAAAGGCGCCATTGATGATAATGAGGAAGAAAATGATAGGATACAATCGATTATAATCAAACTTAGTCCAGAAGATAATTATATTTACACTTTTTTTAAAATACCGGGTTGTGTACCAATTGACGTACGTGCATGTTTTATGAAACTCTATCCTCGTGCAGAAGTTGATAAAAAAAGTTCACTTGCATTTTACTTAAAAATATGTGGATTGGGTGGTAAAGCGAATATGCCGTATAATAAAATGTGAAAAATTTACTCAGAAGCAAAAGAGAGTGTTTCCCTAAATAAATCACATCCTTCTACTATAGAAAACATGCGTAAAGTAGCATATTATTGTATTATAGATGCATTGCGTTGCCAGGAGCTTATGGTTAAGTGGAATGTAATTAATGACTATAGGGAGATTGCTTCTATAGCTTATGTATCTTTGTTTGATTCACATTATCGGGCGAATGGAATGAAGGTACGAAATCTTCTGGAGCTTATGCCACTAAACGTAATATACTATTTACTACGAGATCGTGTAAAAATATAAAAAAAGGTAAGTATCCTGGTGCATATATATTCCGTCTAAAAAAGGAATTGAGACGAAGAGGCCTGTTACGGAATTGGATTTTGCATCTTTATATCCCAGTCTTATTATAGCTTACAACCTTTCTCCGGAAAAAATGATATTAACTTATAGAGAGGCTGATATTGTACAAAAAAATAGAAATAACTTGCATAAGATTGAGTTTCCATTTAATAACCGTATTATCCATGCTTGGTGTGTAAGACATGATAATCAATTCGAGAAGAAGGGTTTATATCCTATTGTATTAGAGGATCTATTCAATAAGAGAGTAAATCTTAAAGCACAACTTGCTTCGTTAGGAAAGAAAAAGGAACGCCTTGGGAAAATGATAAGTTCGGTTAAAGTAAAAGGTAAAAAAATTCCGGAAAGTTTAAATTTAGAATACTTATCTATATGCTTCGATTACGATTATTTGGATTCGAAACAAAAAGCTTTGAAGGTATATATGAATACTTTTTACGGGGAAGCAGGAAATTCAAAATCTCCAATCTTTCTTCATGAATTAGCCGGAGGGATTACTTCCGCAAGTCAATATAATATTGATCTCGTTGCTAAATTCGTATCTGGGAAAGGTTTCGGAATAAAATATAGGAATACCGATTCTTTATATCTTACCTGTCTGGATAAATATTATGAAAAATATGATAGAGATTTTAATGAAGGGAACCTTTCTAAGGAGGAATACTGGTCTGAAATGGTTAAAATTACTATGGTTGTGATGGAAAAGTTGTATAATCAAGTAAATGCTTATCTGAGGATAAAAAATGGCACATCTTATCTTAAAATGGCATACGAAGAGGTATTATTTCCTGTTTGCTTTACCGGCAAGAAAAAATACTTCAGTATACCACATGAAGGAGTTGTCAATTTCAAACAGATAATCTCTTTAAAAAAGAGATTGATAGCGTAAAGCAAGGCCAGTCTTAGCTTTTTAAATTCATTGGGGAAAAAATTATGTGGGAGGCTATGGATATAAATAATACACGATCAATTCATAAAATTGTTGAAGATACTCTTAGAGAGGCCAGAGATAAGCAATGGGACTTTAGTCAATTTATTGAGACGGCTACATGAAAGCCTAAGAAAAAAACCTTCGTGTCCAGCATTTTATAACACGAATGAAAGAAAAAAAATTGAATATCCCAGATCCTGGTGAACGTTTCAGTTATGTAATAATAAAAGGTGAACGTTATCGTGATGAAAAAGGTCGATTAACGCCGTATAGACTTGGTGATTATATGGAATATCCAGAGTTTGCAAAAGAGCAGAACATGGAAATAAATATTAACCACTATATAGAAAGTACGTTGGGATTATGTGCATGGTTTATTAACGAAGACGAGAAATATCAACCACTATCTACATATAAAATTATACAACTCAAAGATTCGAATGAGAAAAAAAAGCAAATTGACGTATATTCCCAGAGGGAAGCCAAAAAATAGCTTATGCAATAAATCAAAAGCTTAAATTAATTTATCTATATTGTTAGACCTAAAGGGTCATTGCTTCGCAATAGTATTTTTAGCTAAGATCGCCACAATCTACTAAGATACTTATGTGTCTTTAGATACTAGCTCTGCTATACATTATTAATAATATTTTTTTTCGTACATAAATAATATCGAAGTTTAAATAGATAGTTCCTAATACCTAGCCCACGTATCCAATAACCGATCATGTCTTTTATGACCCTTTAGGGTCGCCCCTTCGGGCCTGCAGAGCAATGGTGCTTTGAGCCTACCTACATTCCATGCATGTCTCACAAACCACATAACCGCAATAATCAACAAAGCAAGTAATATATATACCGATAGCAGTGACATCAAAGTTCTTGCCACAGCAGGAAGAGGCAAAGCCTCAAGACTAGATTTCATCGCTCCTATTCCTCCTATTGGAAGAGGCAAAGCCTCGAAACCAGGTCCCATCTAAGAATTCGATTCAATTAAAGCGGACATATTATTATCTGGTTGTATAAGGTGCAGAGTTGTATTTTAAGGCATAGTCTCTGATGTATTGGGTTTTATCGATATATCTAGTATATTATCCTCGTTAATTTCACTAATGCTAGTTCTATCATTTACCTCTGGGTTAACCTCTGTATCAATTTTTGGTAGCTTGGTAATCTTATCATTAGTGAAGCAAGTACCAAAGGTGCTAGTTTGTGTCAAGATATTATCATTGATTTTTTTAGCTTGATCCATACTTTTTCTGCTTACAAAATATTGTCTGAGATTTTTGCTAGGTTTAATAACTGCAGATATATCATCAGACTCGGTCATATTTTTTCCATCGTTTCCACCAAGTACGGGGTTTGATATAGTGTTACAGAGTAAAGCCTTCTTAATTTACTCTATAACGACGACATGGCACAGGAAATCCTTTCGTAGGTATATGCGGTGTTCAAGAGGTAAGTATAGCTTCTTTTCTTTTTAAGAAACTATACCCTTCTCTAAGGCAGTTTGTGGGGAAATACAATAACAATAACAATAATAACTTATTAACACAAGAGAGAGATAAACCTTGCCTGTAGGAATTACCCTAGAGGGGGAATATC